GGGGACAAAAGCTCTTGTAAGGTGGGCAAGGTCCCCACAGTCCTGTGCCCACCAGGTCGCGGGCAGCACCCTGGGCTCTGCTCAGCACCAGGCGACATCTCGAGGGCTTTTCCTTTCCTCAGGAAGAGCCTTTGGGAAATCCTTACGCTCTCACCAAGGCCCAGTGGCGTCCCACAGCCCCTGGCTGGCACAGGCCTGCTGGCACTGCTGCAAAACTTAATCTTCTTCGGTCAGCAACCCCCAGGCTTGGGCTTGCTCTCCTGGGGAAGGAAGAAAGTCTGCAGGGAGGCACATCCTGAGAAGGGTTTTGGTACAGTGCCGCAAAAGACAGGAGCAGAGAGTGGCTCCTGCACCATAGGGCAGCTGGACAGGAGCTGCTGGGCGCTGGCTGGCAGGCGAGGAGCCCAGGAAGCGGCGCTGCTTGGGTCACTGCAGATTGCACCTACCCACTGTTTCCTGACTCCCCTGAGAAGTAGGATTTGGTGTCATAGTGGAACTGCAGGAGGCCCAAATGGTCCCTGAGCAGGAGCTCCAAGCACTATGGGGGACACAGGACATTGCGGGTGGATGCCAAAGGAAGGTTGGAGGGGCCAGCAGGGCTGCTGTAGCCACTGTGGTGAAATCCTGGGATGCAGAGCTCTTCTCTGGACAGAAGAGCCTCAGGACTCTTCTCTGGACAGTCCCTGGCAGGGAGCCCAAGTATCCTTTGGAAATTCCCTTAATTCTGTCTGCGGTTTCAGTTTCCTTCCTAGAGTTCTTGGCAGAGCAGTCCAGCCAGCCTGGGTTTGGAGGGGCTCTGCTGTTTTCTGCCCCCGGCCTCCTCTCACCAAGCCAAGCGCTGCTGGGCCCTCCTCACGCCAGGGCAGGTCCCTCGCGTGGAGTCGGCAGCAGCCCAGCCTGGGGCTCCCTGTGCCCAGCTGCGCTGTCCCTCCGTGCTGCCCTGCAGGGACAGGGCTTGCAGGGAGCAGGGGCCTCACTGCTCTGGAAATGCAGTGGGAAACCCCAGCCTCACATGTCTCAGACACACGGCCAGCGCGGGTAAGGGGATCGACACAATGTCACGCAGATGTCACCTTCTTGCCATTCCTCAAATACCTCAAGTGAAGGGGTCATATACTGAGATATTAACTGGTAGTTTTCAGCTTTGTTCCCTAGACATTGTTTCATGCTGACATGAAGGACTAAAGGCTTCTGGTCATAAAGCCTATACCCATGTCCTTCACAGAGCTCTGGCATGCCTGGGCCTCCTCCCTGGTGTGTGGGCTTCTCTTTCTTTCCTGCCCACTCCATGGCAGGAATCATCTGGGGAGATGACAGAGGATGCTGCAAACGTGGCATCGTGAGTGCACAGGGCCTTCTCATGACACTCAAAGCCTTCCCTGGGGTCTACAGGAGAGGCTGAGCATGCTGTCATTGGAAGGAGTGGGACAGGTGGGACCAGTCTGATTGGGGATGTTCTGCCTCGCAGCTGGGGCATCTTCCAACCCACAGCATCTTCTCTCTGCCTTGATGTGGGAGCAACTGCTGATCCACCATCACTCTTCCTGTCTCAGATCTAGCTGCTGGGGTGCCCTTCCTCCACCGCATTGTCTTTCTCCCTTCTCTACCTCTTTCTTCTATTCCTGGGCTCCCAATTCCTTTCCTCTTTTCTCTTTGTGCCCCCTCCACACCTGCACTTCCCCATCCCGCAGGGTGGCCTGCACCCCTCCCACAGCGCTCAACTCCACTCTCCCTACAGCATTGCTCCCCATCCCCTGGGACCCACCCATCCCAGGGACAGCCCCTTGGCTGACCCATCACTAAGGATATGGGACCATCTCCAGGCCCCTGCGTCATTGGAAAATAGATCCCTTGATGCCTGCATGCCATGAGGGTGGGAGGCCTGCCAGGATGCCGAGATGCAGAGGGGTGCTTGGAGCTATCACACCAGCTCTTGGCATGGAGCGTGTGGACATCTTGGTGCTCCCTCTGCTGGCCACGCTGCCGGAGCCCACCCTGCTCTCCAGCAGAAAGCCCTGCAAGGTCAGTTTTGGGAGCCGGGGTCTGCCAGGGCTGCAAAGCAAAGGGTCCTTGTTGCCCTGCAGCATGGCCATCCCTTCCCTGGACTCAGCACGCTCTTGCACTGGGCATTGAGAGCTTGCCTGTGTCCTCATGCTCTGCAAAGGTTTAATTCACTACCCACAGGGACATCATCTGGTTTTAAATGTTTTGTTTTACTTGGAGAAATATGCAATTTATATGAAATATATATGATTTTTTTTTCTTAAGCCAAATTCAGGTTTCCTTCCAAACACAACTGGAGGCAGATTGGAAAGAGGTAATTAATTGTTGCCCATATCTCACAGTAAAACACCAACAGAATGAACCCAAGCTGAACACAGTTTGCACCAGATCTCTGGAGGAGCCAGTGCTGGCCATGGCAGTGCTACCTGCCCCACTCCTAGGTCACCTTCCTTGGAGCTAACACCAGAGACTTTCCCATCTGTGCTCATTGTCCAGTGATTCCCAAAGTGTTTCTAGTCAGGCAGCCCCCCAAGAGTGTGGAGGTGATGCAGGAGAGAAGATTTTAAGGGCTAGGGAGGCTGAGGAATTTCTAGATGGAGAGCCAGGGTTCTTCCCTTGCCTCTCCCCAGGTGGTTGGTGTTCATCCTGTCTCACCCATCCCTTCAGTTCCACCTCCAGGATGTGCAGATGTTGGACTACATAGCAGAAGGGACCCTCCACATCTCAATCCCTACAAAGGACCATGTGTTTCCTCACCTCGTCTAGAGCTGGCGAGGAGGTGAGCAGCCCCTGATAGACATGGCACAGAGAGATGGTAATCTTTATTCTTTGGCACCAGCAAGAGACAACAGTTTGACAACAAGGCTGAACAGTGCGGTTCCAGAGTGAATATCTAGTAAATAGTCAGCGTAGCACTTCCTCTATTAAGGAGACAGACCTCACTGACAGCATCTATCACACATGGCTAAATTCAGCTGGCTGATCGGGATGTCAGTCTGACTTTACATAATAGCACTCGTACCTAACTTTAATAAGTCACTTTTCACGAATAGTTTTGAAGATAAGAATTCCTCTCCTCTTCTAGCAGAGAATGCACAAAGAAGGGACAGAGTTTCACCACAGGTCCACACAACCAGGATGTCCCCAGCATTGCAGCTGTCCATAAGGGTGACTAAATTGCGATGGAGAAACAATGCCTTTGCAAGACAAAAGGAACTTCAATGGCACTGAGGTGGCTTTTGGCCTTTGTGCTCAGCAGTAGCATTTCTAGGCCCAAGAGATGATTTTGCTGGACGATCTTGTAAGACTTTCAGCAATGGACTTCTCTCAACTCCCAGCCCTCACTGAAGCTCCAGGAAGTTCACATATTCTTTCACCCACCTGGCATCAGGATTAGCACAGAGCTGCCGGTCCTTCCTGGTGACGAACCTGTAAAAAGAGGCAGGAAGGTGTTACAAACGAAGAGAGGGAAAGGCACATGATGAAGTGGCATTCACGGCCTTGGATCACCTCTTGAGTGCCCCTAACCTCTTCAGCTATGGAGCTCAGCTCTACTGAGCGCAGCTCCTGAAGGGACCATCACTCCTTTCCACTCTCATTGCCAAAATCCTTTCATCAAGATCACAGGGGTCTGCTAAAACCCAGACAGCAGGAAGAGTTCCAGGACCTTGGAAAAGGCCTTGTCCAACATGCTTGCCCTGGTCCGGTGTGCAGGTGAGCCTCAATGCAGTGTGGGGCTGGTAGGGTTTCTGGAGCCAGCATCTGTTGGCCTCCGCACTCCTCTGCAAATCTAGAAAATCTGGCACACTATTTGCATTGGGCTCGTGCCACAAGGAGGTCCTGCTCAGAGGTACAGACACCCAGCATCAAAGGTTCTGCTGGCTGCTTTTCTTCCACTCCTATTCTAGCACCAGAATGGTCTTGTTTCTCAGCCAAGGAGAAGTGCTCATGTACTGTGCAGGACACTTGAGCTGGCTGCCCTCTTTCCTTATCCCAGACATGGTTCCCCACACTGCAATACTGATAGCATTTCTGGGACATGAAGCAGCTTTGGGGCAGAACCCCAAGGCTGGCAGAGCCTTTCACCCATAGCCCAGAGCAGGAGCCAGTACTTACACAACTGCTGGCTGTGGACACTTGCTGCTGGTGTAGAAATACTCCTTCACATGATTCTGGGGGAGCTTGCGTAAAGTGTAGCTGAAGCAACACACAGTGGTGTCAGCACCATCTGGAAGGAATAGAGATGGTAAGCATGTCTACCATGCATGGCAAGGAGAGAGTCAGCACATGCCCCATAAGAAAGCATGGGGAAAATCCCCTGAAATTAACTGTGGAGGTCTCTTCTCTTTCCAGAAGGAGTCTGTTTCACCAGAATGACAAGAAATTACACCTAAACTTAATTAAGCTCATCACTAGGGTATCTTGCTAACCTTTCTGTAACTCTACCCTCCTCACTTGCTATGGCAAAAATCCCATCAGTCATCCTAGGACCATTCCTAAAGCCAACCAAGAAAATCAGAGGAGATCAAAGCAAAAACTTTGATATTTACAAGGCAAAATTCAACATCTCCTTCCCAAGAGAAAGGGAAGTTAAAATAAAAAATAGATTGGAGAAAGGGAAGAATAGAATGGAAGTTAGAATAGGAAAGCAGGAAAAGATATGTACTCAAGATTTCAACCTTCGCAGATGATTTTTCCAGTTCTGCTCCAAGATTACTGTCAATCGGAACAAAATCTACCCCGAAAAAGAAAGAGAAAAGTTGTACTCACATGGACCTGAAGAGGCTTGAGAAAAGAGGGCAGCAATGAGGAGGATAGGGAGGGATACTGAAGTAGGAGTCATTATGGGCAGGATGAGCTTCAAGAGCAGGTGCAGGATCAGAGTAGATTCCTTCTGCGTCTGATGCTAGGTGTCTGGACAGTTCTTGCTTTTTATAGGGATGTTAGCCTGCCCTGATGGTTAGATATCAAGGAAAGTCCTTGTTTTTTCCAATGTGTCACGTAGCTGATGTCATGGCACCTTTGCCTCAGATACACTGAAAAAAAGGAAGCCACAGGTCTAGGAAATACCAGAATAGACCCTGTGAGCAGTGAGATAAGTCTGAACAAATCAGCAAGCAACTCAGGGCTATACTGACCAAGACAGGATGTGGGACAGCCCTCGTGCAGCAGGTCCATAGTTATGTTCACCAGCATGACAGCAACCCTAAAGAGATTCAGCACTGGCAAGTTGGAGCCAAGAGGACCCCAACTCAATCTCTTTTCCAAGGCCCTGGGACACAAGCACTCAACTTTGTGACAATATGACCCACAGCTTCTAGCGTCTCTTGGAGGATGAATATGTCTTGGGGACAGTAGCTACAGGAGAGCATGGCAGGCCAGGGCTCCTTGCTCCCGTGGTGGGTCTGGGACACACATTGCGGGCAGGAGGGCAGCACACACAGCAGGCACAGTCTGGTGCACAGAGGCAGCGAGGATGGCTGCCACCCTTGGGGACTCTTTATAGGAAATCTGGAAACACAAGAAACTCTCCAAATGGAGTTCATGACCTCCAAATTCCACTAGAAGGAGCCAAAAAAAAAGAAAAAGATGGCCCTTGCTTGGGAGATTTGGCTTACTAGTCGGAAATTATAAATACTGTCTTCTAATAGAGATGTGGGGCAAACACAGGTGCTGTTGTGGGTTTGGCGTGGGGTGGGATAAAGAAGTCAGATCTGGAGGGGGACCTGCACTTGCACAAATGCTGAAAGCCTATGTCATGTGGCACTCACTGACAGGGGAGGGTCTCCCCTGACAAAATCTCCCTCCCTGTGCCATGCCCAGGGACAGGGAGGGCTGCGGTGCTGCAGGAGAGCACCTGCACTGAGGACAGAGATGCCGGGCCAGGACTGTGCCAGCCGAGGGCTGTGAGACCCCACTGGGGCTCAGTGAGAGCCTGAGGATTTCCCAAAGGCTCTTCCTGAGGCAAGGGCAGGAGCTATCCCTGGGACTGCAAAGGAGCTGTTGGGAAAGCCCTTGAAATGCCACCAGGTGCTGAGCTGGACCCAGGGTGCTGCCCACGACCTGGTGGGCACAGGACTATGTAGACCGCAGGTACAGCAGGGGATCCCCCAGGTCAGGACAAGCTCCACAAACATGGCAGAGACCCTTCACACTCCACTGGCTCTAGAAGCACACATGGGCAGTGCTGGCTCAGCAGGAGCAGAGCTGCAAGGCCCTCATCCTTCCTTGCCCAGCTCACAAGAGCTTTTGTCCCCAACAGATTTCTCATGAGAAAGGGCTGTGAGGTCTGTGCCAGCTCTGAGGACTTCTGGGTTCAAGCGTACATGAACGACCTGGAGCTGTGGGCTGAGTGATGCAGAGCAGGGAGCAGCTGTGCCTGGCACTGCAGGGTTGTCCCAGACACACGATGGCAGCATTTTGGAGCTGCTCAGCAGAACCCTTGCAGGCGCTCATCTTTTGCCAGGGATGCAAGTCCAGCCATCTTCCTGCTTGCAAGCACACAGTCATGCTACAGCGGTTCCCAGCCATCCTGTGTGCACAGACAGTCACAAAGCTGGCAGTGGTAAGCCCCTGGTCACCACTGCATGCTCCTGCTGTCCAGCATGAACCTTTCTGGGCTGCATTGCCCCCTCTGTGTGCTCAGTGTTTTGGCTATTGTTCATCTCCTCTTCCTGACACTGACATTACAGCCAGAGGTCATGTCTAGTTGCAGCATGTGTGAGGGAACCTGTTCTGGTGTTACTGGGTCTGTGGGCGAAGGCAGGAACTGCTATTGCCTGTGACAAAATATCCTATAGACCAAGACGGAGATCTAAGAAACCACAGAGAGATAATGATGTTTTCTCAACCACAACATTGCCAGAGCTCACACACTCTTAGAGCTCGTGCAGGCAACTGAAACCATGATATCTGCTTATCTTTGATCTTTGTGCAAACACAGGCTGCTTGCACCTCAATCTATCATAGCTCTTTCTGCCTTGACATACTCAAGGGGTGAATAACCCATATGTCAGGCATCTCCTGAGAGCCCCGTGCAGCCCAGATTCAGAATCTAGTCTGTGAGTTCAGCTCGGTGTAGGTTTTTGTGACAGAAGCAGTGGATTCTGCACTAAATCCTTGGGGCTGTGGTCTTAGAAGTGCAAGTGGAGCTAATGGAAGTGTTGCAGACTTTCTGGTACAGCAACAGGGGAGAGAAACAGAACAGCATTGTTGAGACCATACTATGAGGTGGATCATCACTGGCTTGCCCACAGGAGAAGGGAACACTCACAGGAGTAGTAAGGGAATGTACTAGGCCCCAAATAGTGCCCTCATGCTTGGATCAACCAATCATGTGCTCCAAGCCACTCTCTGAAAGAGCCTGGGGGGCAAGACCTGCTCTGAGGCAAGTGTTAGCCCTCAGTGCCAGGGGCCAGTTGCCAGGTCATCTGCCCTTTTCTGTAGAAAATGATACTGGAGTTCTTTGCTTCATCATCTACATCTTAAACTGAGGAAAAATAAAAGTGATTTTAGACTGAAAGTATGAATACTATCCACTGCATGTTATTTTCCTACCTTTAACTTTGGAGTAGTCAATGGCAGGGATCATAGAATGCAGGTAGAGTAATGAAGGGGATAAGAGTGCTCATGGAGGGGAAAGAAAGAAATCTGAGCATGCAGAAAGGGGAACAGAAGAGGTCTGAGTGCACACAGTGGGGACTGGAATAACATCTGGTCAACCATGGAGTGAACAGGGGAGATAAGCCTGCATATAGAGAAGAATAGTAAGGAGCTGTATGTGCATGAAAGGGAACTCAAACTTTGCCCCCAGGCTGAACGTGCAGCTGAGTGTTCACTCTTGCAAGTGACTACGAAATATTCGGTTTAGCAATGTAGTTGCATTGGTAGAAATGGGTTTGAACTGGAATGGAAAAGAAAAGGGAAATCTAAACTAAGGAAAGCTCCCAGGGCCCATCTAAAAACATCAGGGGCAACAGCCTGGCAGTGGGGAATGTCAGGCACCTTGTTCTGCTTCATTCTATGGCATTAGTAGGAAGCCCTGTCTGAACTCCAAGAATCTGCGTCCTTGTACCGCGGCATTAGGAGCCATGAAGCTCATGATATGTCTTGGATGCACCTGATATACCATTCACAAATACAAAGTTTGCCATCTCATGCATCTGGGGAAGGTTCAGGACTGACTGTTATCCCTCATGCACGCATATGCACACAAACACACACACGGTCCTGGTGAACAGCTAGACCTGGGCTTTAGAAGAACAGAAAGCAGCCATAGTGTCAGCTGGCACCATAACTCAGCAAGAACGTCATGCTCACCTATTGCCTAGTCCTTTTGACAGAGCAGTCCTGACCACTCATGAAAGACATTATTTTTGACTGACACTGAGCCTCTGCATGCAACTACTTGCATGACAAGTGTGACACCTAAAGGGACTTGTTAATGTTTTTTGTAACCTGATCCTCCTCCCACAAGGGAAAGTGTTCATTTCTCCACCTTCTTCCTGGTCTCCATAGTCTGGGGTTCTTGAGGGCTGCTCTTAGCAGAAAAGATGGAAGCAAAAAAGTATCAGGCCCACATTTTCCCTAGCACCTTGTCTGACTTCATTCTGTGGGGTTAGTAGACACCAAGAGCCCAGATCCTTGTACCATGGCATTAGGAGCCATGAAGCTCGATTGTCTTTGGCCAATGAGATGTGTGGCATCTGAACCTGTTAATTTTCTACGGGATAAATGGTCTGCTTTATCTGAATTTCTCTGGTGAGCCCCCTAGGGACTGCTAGTTTCCCACTTGAACCATTGGTCACCATTTCCTGACATAAACTTGTTTTTGGTCTTGATTAGATCCCCTGCACAGACACTTCCTGCTTCCTGGATCTGGTGGGGACAGGTCCCTTGAGCAGAAGGTCTGCTTCATGTCATTACTCACAAAAAGGAGCAGAGAAAGGGACTCCCTGCAGAGTCCCCCAGGAAGTCTGTAAAGCCCGTTCCAGATGTTTTTTTTTTTTTTTTCCCCTGTGGCATTGAGGTCATGGGTGGTCTCTCCCTGTGGAGCCATGCTGTGAGCATCACCAGGTGCACACTCCCCTCATCCCTGGCGTCTAGTAGTCAGGATTCGGCACTCTCACTGCCATGGCCTGGGTTTGATTTCCAGACGGGGAAGGGGCTTCTCACCTCTGTTGATGGTCCAAGCCTTTTTCTTCATAGTAGGACAACCCTGTCCCAGGGACAACTCTCTTGGTCAACTCAAGTGGTCAGCTCTAGCAAGCGGAAATGTCCCTGAGGTAGGATAAACTGTGTGTGTGTGTGTGGATGACAGCCCCCCAGACGCCATCAGGCTGGATCCTCTTTGCAAAAAAGTGCTACGAGTGCAGAGCACAAGATAGGGACATGGATAGGGACAAATATATCCCTGGGACAAGTATGAATGAGGATGAATATGTGTCAAGTTGCAAATATCTGAACATCATTTCATACCTACTGCCTGTCTCAGCCTTCCTAAAGGGAAGAGCTCAGCTAGAAATTTAGAAATTGGTCTTAGGGATCATCTGGAGCAGAATGCTGAGCCAGTGCATGCCACCACTGAGTCATTCTTATGAGCATTGACGGCTGGATGTCCGTCCTGCCATCCCGGGGATGGGTGGGCAGGGGCTGCCAGTAAAAGCTCCCGCTGTGAGCAGGATTTGAACCTGCGCAGGGATACCCTATTGGATTTCAAGTCCAACGCCTTCACCGCTCGGCCATCACAGCAGCTGGTATTAGTCCTCTCTGCAGGAGGCCACGGCAGGGAGGGCAGGGGAGGCTGCCTGCCACCTCCTGCCCACCCCAGGGCCACAACAGGAC